TGTATTTGCAGAAAATGGAATAGGCAATCAAAAGGGCGTTTGTTTAGCAAATTATTTTTATTCTTAAGCCTCTGTAACAATTTTTTTAATCTCTTTTCAGTGATATTTTTGTACTTCTATACTATTTCACATTAATAATTGGTATGAGCTAACTGGTTGTTCAGGTTAGATTTGCATTCTGATCCAAAAATTACAGGTTACTGAATTATCTTTTAAGCTTCCTAGCCCTGTGGATCCATTAAACCTTAATTAAAGAGGAATCTTAGGAAAAAATAATCAGACCATTTATATCCAAGGAAGGTGCACACTGGTCATTTGTTTGTTCACCAGCATAAAAATTATTATTTAATGGAAATTTTAATCACAGCAAGCTTATAGATAGACATATATTAAATGTATTAATCTTTCTATAAGGTTATTCACAATGTATAAGGTTACACCTCTGAAAAGACTGCTTCAGATTGCTTTCCGGTAACGCTAATACCCATTAAAAAGATGAATATATATGTGTGTAAGTCAATCATAAGGTATTAAAGAGGTGTAGCAACTTAAGCTTCTTTTCTTCTTGGCAGGTCACTTTGAGAAATGTCCTAGTTCAATTAAAATATTTTTTCCATTTCCTAGGAGTAGATTCAGATATGCTCTGTCTTTTCTCTATCTTATCTTCACTGTCAGGATTTAAAACAAACCTGAGTGAGATATAAGATGGATAGTCCAGCTACTTCAGATTCTGAACAGATTCATATTAGAGGTGTGTATATGTGTATATGTTTGTATGTTAACCACACAAGATCCTGAAGATTCAGGCTGAATCTTTAGGAGATACAAAAGTGATTTTTAAAGAATATGTTTTATGAGTTTGTTACCAGGAAAACAGTAGAATTTAAACCAGGATAAACTGCATCATGTTTCTTATTGCTTATGTGATTTTTCATCTCTATTTTCACAATGCTGTGATAGTCACTGGAAGTTACCTAAAATAAAAAGATACATGCAAAGAGAATAAGGTGTTATGCTTTGTTGGTGGTCTTGTTTTGTTTTTTCTTTTTTCCAGATTAGTTTGGTAGTACTGTGAATTGAAAGGTCTGAGAAATTATCATTATCTAGGCTACAGTCATTTATGGCATAAGGCATGTGGCATGGCATAAATGACTATGACATTATTGTGTATCTTAAAAAAGAAATAAAGTACTTTAGAATAATTGCATGCAAGTCAAATATTCATATAGTCTCAGGAATATAAAATTTTCCAATTAATTACTTAGTTCTGTTTTTAAATGCTGGGTAGACAGCATTACTTTTTGTACCAGCATTGATTTTTTCTGTGAGAATTGTCCTGGAAAATCTCTCCATCATGGATGTTCATTGCAACATATTATAATGCTTTAGGTATAAGATGAGCTTAGTGACTGAGGCATGGATGTAGTGAAAGATGTTATTACCTTCACATTATAGTGACTGTATAAAACTCTCTTTCTCCTTTATCCTTGCTATGGGCCTGACAGTTTATTCATTATGAAGCTCTTGAAAAATTTAGTTATGTTTATGTGCATGTATGATGTGTTACAGTTTAAAAACAGAAAATATTCAGACTCAAATGCAGTTCTTCTGCAAAACAGTATTTCAAGCTAGCATAAGTATAATTAAATAAATAAGTATAAATAAGTAAAAAATAATAAATAACACTCATTGATGATATTAATTGTACACCACTATCTGATGGTCAAGTGACCTTGCTAAAAAAGCTTGTTCACTTGTTACTTTACTAGGCAATATCAGAAAGCCTGTGAATTTGTTTTACTGACTCCTGAATTTTCATTTTTAAATCAATTTTATTATCAAATACAAAAATCAACTATCAATTTGACTGGCCATCCACAGTGTCAGGTACCAGGATAGGTCAGTATATTATGGTGACATCACATAAACATTATTTGGCTTATCATGCATGTGGATATTACTCTGTTTTTCAGTGTAGGTAATTAGGTGAATTTAATATCATTCATGACACAAAGAGATTGTTCATTGGTCTAACCGTTATCTGCCCTGAGGCATACAGGCTGGTTGCCTCTTTTTGAAATGGCTGAAGTCTGCTAAATTAATCCTATTTCAACTGCAGCGTGAACAGCTATCAAGGACCTGCTCTTCTCATCCAGAAATACAAAACTTGTAATGGTTGTTCCAAAACAATACAAAACAAAAAAAACTCCTTTCTGAAAAAAAGGGTTATGTGGTTAACATGCAACTAGCCTGGTCTGGCTTCAGATTATCCTAAGGCAGGCCTGGAGTTGTGGTTGGAAAGTCCTTGTCTATGGAATTTAGGACCTTTGCATGTTGGATTCGAGGGCTTAGCAGTTCAGCAGCTTAAACCTAAGAAAACCTTAGATGTTCCCTCACTTCCAAGCTTATCTGTATGTAGTTACTATTCTGCTTTACAGTCTGTTAACAAAGTCATAGCCTTTCAGCAGGTTTGTAAGGAATTGTTATGACATGTGTTTGTCTTGTGTTGGCTCCTTGAAAATTAGCTTTGTGTGTTACTTATTTGTAACCTCTCAGCTCATTAAGTTAGTTCATCTACTTTGGAGTCAGAAAATATTCAGGCAGGGGAAAATTTCAATCAAATCAACCTTGCATAGAAACAACTGCCTGTTTGCCATCTGCAGTGGGCATTGATCCCTAGCTTGTTTATGCTTTGTATTTGTTATGCGTGAGTAAGCACATTAGCCTTTTTATTTCATTCATTAGACAGTTAGTCCTTGATTAGTGTTTCCTAGTTTCTGTCATATAAGCTACAACTCCTTTATTTGTTTTGTCTTGAGTCTGCCTTTTTCTTCAACACAGAAAATTAACAGTTAACCACAAGAGTAGTCCTTTTATTTTTTTTCATATACAACTGGCAAACCACTGCACTTTTCTAATGTTGGCACATCTAATGTGGGATAAAGTATGAATGCTGAGCCTTTCTAAAGTTAACAGAGTTATTATTTTAGTTCAGCTGATAGGCTTTGTTTAGAAGAGTAACATCTAGAGCTTTACTGGCAGCTTTATCTTATCCATCTTCAAGAACTGTGGGATCACCTGAATATTTGTGGATGGATATTTTCCTCATAAAATTTCATTCTACATAAAAATAAATCTGAAGTAGTGATGAGTATGGTTTGAGAATATTGCACTGAAAGTTTCAGATGACAGTTGGATGACAACACAGAAAAATCAGGTATTTTATGAACATAAAATTCAGTCAGTAAGGCTTTTTGCTCTCATTTCCTTGTGGGACAGTAAAACATGAACATTAAATGGCATTTTTGTTCACAAATAAGATAGAAAAATAGGTAAGCAGATGTTCCTAAGGATGAAAACTATATGCATCTTTAGAAATTACATAATTAGAGTATGAATTAACTATTTCAATTTACATTTAGTGATGCCACTAAGTGATTTTACTTAAGCAGTGATCACAAGTCATATTGCTGAAGAATTCTATACAGTGCTACATCCTTAAGTAATCAGAGTGTATGTAAAATATTATTTCCTATTTATTACCTTTTATTCATCATATAAGAAAATTATATCAGTGAGTAATGGTATGATCTCTGGAGTTTACCTTATTTAAAACTCTAATTAAAAAGGAGTATTTTTGTCAGTGTTGTAGCCATGTTTGATATAAGTGATATTATACATCTGCACTAAATATTTGTTTGCTTATTTGATATTTAAACTGAAGATGAATGGCTTAAATAAAAAGCATTTAAAACAATATTTTAATCAGCAACAAGATAAAATTTAAGTAAAGTATTTCATTATCTTTTTTCCACCAAAAGTTAATTCTGATTGTTTGAAAATCATTTAAAATGTTACTAAATAAGTCTGAAGGCTTTATATTGAATTTGATACTTTTCTCTAATTCTTAGTTTTTATATTTCTATAATCTTTTCAGTTGTTTCTCATCCATGATATTTGATTATAGTGAAAAATTTGTTTGTGGTTTTTGTCAAGCTGTATTTAATGGAAACTAGAATTAATTTAAAATTATTGTTTTGCACATATATTCTCGTATATGCAGTATCTTAAGACATAGTTGTGAAAACAACCCAATGTTTACTATCTCTTACAAGACTGTAGAGTTGGTAGGTTTCGTATTCTCATGACTAATTTCATAGAATCATAGAATCATTAAGCAAAATAAATACTTCATAGCTGTACTGAAGAAAACATTATTTTTGTACTTTCAAATGAGATATATAAATGCTGGGAAAAATGATTCTAGCATATCAGCAACTTCCACCACAATTATTTGATTACCTTTATAATGTTATGCACCTATGTATTTTATTGTGGTATTTCATTTCTAATTCATATTTGATTCTACTGTTAGCATCATTTATTATTTTTTTAAACACTTTAATAACACATATAATATATACTTAATTAACAGGATTCTTTTTTGTGCAAAAAATCTGTCTTCCCCCCATCATTTCCAATGCAGTAAAGGATATATTATCATTTATTCCCACTTTCTACAAAATCCTGTAGAAAGCTACTGAATGCTCATATGCAAATGTCAAGTTGTATGTGTTTAACTCTATTAAAACTATCATTCAGCCCTACTAGAGCTTCATATACTTTATTTAGCATTCCAACAGCAGCAATAAAAACAACAGGAAAGATCAGTGAAGAGCACTGTTGTAAATCTTCTGTGGATCTAGATGATATCTACTATAAAAAAATTGAAGACCCTTTCAGTAAACATAACTCTATCATATCTGCTTTGTAAAAGTGGAGAATGTAATAAGTGTAGTGAATATTTTCATAGAGAACCCTTCCTTGTAGCAGTGTACTTGTAAAGTGGTCAGAATATTGTTGAAAATATTGTTGAAAATATTGTTGAAAATGATAGACAGTAAAATACCTCACAAGCAATATGCTTTGGTTACAGTTTTGGTCTTCTGTTTTGTAATTTTTCTTTCATGATAGATTTACAATTCACTTTTTCCTGTTAGGATGCTTCAATTGCCCACAGATTCCACATCATGAGAGAAAAACATCCAGAGAAGTTCAACAGTAGGTAAGAATTTCAAATTGCTTACATGTGAAAAGATTATTTCTATGTCTTTCAGATATGTTCTATAAGGAGTTAAATCTTGCACAGCCTTTAAAATATTGATTCTCATAAAAGAGAGGAAATCAGTGAATTTTGTATTAAGTATATGCTCGCAGACTGCTGGTAACGTAACTGTTTTATATCTGGTATTTCAACTGAAATGAATAGGATTATAAATAAACTGTTCTCACATGCAAAATGTTTGACTTGTAAGACTAGCATGGACAAGATGATGCATTGTGGTATCTGAGGATCTCTGAATTGACACTTTGCCATTAGGCACTGAAGAACACTTATTAGACAGCTGCAGATGGTGGTCCTTATGTTTCATTCCCACACGCACACTGGTACATTGACAGGAGGCTCTTCCATATATACTCTTAGTAAGGGCAAGTGAATGCCATTTTACACATAAATGCTTTTATCATTAAACAGCTTTGGATATATAAAAAAAGTCAGGAATGAGACTTTGCATTTGTTCCTTGTTGCTTTTTGAATTTAGAATTTATCTCTGAGCTTTTCTGGATATTAAAAATGTGTTACAACGTGTACTGCAAAATCACCTTCTTTCAATATCTGGTTTGTTGAATAGATAATATTCATAATGCAGTGTTTATGTTTATCTCTTTCTATTTAGGTAATTTAGCACATCACTTGTGATGGGTAAAAACAACATTTCAGAAACTTTAATTAAGATTTAAAGGTGCGTGGGAAGAGGAAATTAAGATATGAAGTTCTTAGGGATATAATGGGAAAATCTAGGAATAATCGTTGAAACAAATGTTTTGTCATACCTACAGATTATTATTTTTTTTTAATTTCCATCAGGGTCAACTGGAAGATCTAATGTAGAGGCCAATCTTCACAGATATTAAGATGATAAAATATTTTGTTTATAGAGCCTCATTACAGCTGTATAGACTGATGCTTGAATGTGTTTGAATATTATCTAATTTGCTGATTTCATGTTGCAAGTATAAATTTTACTCTTAACAGCCCAAGATGGGGACTTTTTCCTTAAATAATCATCTCTGCAATTATGTACTAGTATCTATGCAATGATATACAAGAACTCAAGTATATATTTCTCTTTCAGCTCCACAATAAACACTTAAATTATATTACTTCCTCTTCCTGCCTCCCGTGCTTCTCATTTTGTAAGAATTATACTATGAAAAGATTTTAACTTAAGTCTGATGTGCACATCCAAATCTATTAGTCATTAAGTCATTCACTAAGACTAGAGATATTGGACATTTAGCAAATGCAGATATTCTAGGCCCTGAAGATGAAGCTAGTTTATCAGTGGTCTTTCTGCATATTTTCAGCAGCTGGCAATTATGATTTATAAAAAGCTCAGCTAATAACATGAGTTTCAGATCAGATTTCATGTCACAATAAATCATGTGCCATTAATCTGCTAGCAGTCTCACCTTGAAATTCATGTATATTTTAAGGAACCTGATGTTTCTAGCACTATGTTAAGGAAATTAACTACAAAAATATATAGTTGGAGTCCATATGTTTCAACACTGTGGCATTGAAAGAACTTGAAAAAAGTAATGATTCTCAGGCTGTTTAAAGACTGTTTAGAAAGATGATGCGTTTCTAAAAAATGATGTAAAGATTTGGTCAAAGTATTGTAACAGAGATTGTTTTTTTTAAAGGTTACTGCAGATTTCTATTACTGTTGAAAAGAATATTCCAAATGCTGTTAGTTCATAAACGTGTACGTTGCTCCAAAAGTAATGCCTCCTATTTATTCCCATGGAAACTACAACATTTGCAAAGAGCAGAATAACTCTGTTTAAATGAGCAAATTCTCAACTACAGAACACTATTTTTCAACATCAGCACCACCATTAGCTGTGCATTTTTGCAAATGATGAACAAGAGAATGCATGCTAAAATGTAAAAAATTTGCACCAGCAGAGGTGACCACTGCTGATACATACCACTTAATGCCTTGCTGTGCTCACATCTACTGTTTGGTCTCCATTAATATTCAAGCAAGCGTCAGTGAATATTAATGGGTACCATTTTTTCCACATGGACGAATTCAGTGCCACACCTTTGCTTTGTATGCACTTCCACGTTGGTCACATTTCTGTCAGACTGTTCTTCTTCTGCCATCTGTCACATGGCAACAAAATGTAGTAGAATATTGTCAGGAAGGTTCAACCTCTGCTGCCATATCACCAATATCCACCTCTGACATCATGGACCAACATAATAAAACAGGAGGCATTACTTTCAAAGCACCCCTCATACTTTGTTCCTCTTTCTAGCAAAACTCCACATTATGTTATAGCAGCATTTTCCTGCAGTGCGTGAAAATGAAACCATTTTATATATATTAGTCAAAATGCATTTTATCGCTTTTTTCATCATTGTGGATTTTCCTGTACATGCTTAGTGATTTAGGATCAGCACGTCAATCCCAAGTCAGATTCGTAGCCTACTACATAGTTAATAGCACTTATTCATTTCAGAATCCTGCACTGTCACATGTGAATTTGTTAATTCTTTTGTGGCTTTATGTTATTTTCTTCTTGCTTGATTTTCCAAAGCTTTGTACTCCACTGTTACCGGTTTTGTAAAGCAGATCCTTGCACTGAGGTTCTACTTTGAGTAGGTCTACATAAAAAGTTTCCTTGCCGAAAAGAAACTGAATAGAATTTATGCTATGTGCAGAGTTCTTCTAAAATACACAGATGTTGTATTTGATTCTTTTATGTGAATTAGATTAAGTTTGTAGTTGGAGAATCATCTGCCTTAAATTGTGGCAGTGATAATCCTTAAAGTGCTATGACATTCCTTGACACACTTGACACCATGTTACCTGTGTAATTAGAGCATACCAGTAGGGAAACTCCTGATATGCTGCATGTATGAAAGCAGAATCTTTCTGCACTTGTTTACCTTTTCAGAATGAAGCTGAGAACAAATCACAAGGCTTAGAAGGACTTTTTAATTACTACTCACTGATACTGTAGAATCTGTTTTGGAAGCAGGTATCTACTTAAGAATGCTGGCATGTTTTGAAACTGCAGTGCTCCTAGGTTTCGGACACAAAGACTTAGTACTGACTCATTAAAAATAGAAAGAAATTAAATAAGGTGTGGATTTCTGCACTAGAGATGCATAGACATATAGGTCTTTGAAAAAGTCTCAGATTAAGTATATGTAAATATTCATGAACTTAAAATCCATACTATGTTTCGTTTCTTAAATCTTTGAATGGCTTAGAAGTTTCCTGTGCCATTTCAGTTGCACCTGTGCAACTCCTGTTTGTTTCTTATTGTTATTAAACTGAAATTTAATTTGTCAAATGGTTTTTTTCTGCTCAGAATTTCACTGAAAAACTGTTAGTAAATGTCTTAGTTACTAGTTAGTTACTTAGTTAAGAATATTATTCTTGTAAGCTGCAATTTAGAATGGCTCCATATGATTTTACAAATAAGGCTCGGTGTAAGTCTCTTACAGTATTTGTAAACTATTCATTTTTTCATGAAAATGGATCTGAAGGAGAAAAATGTTTCTTTTGGTGATGATCAAATAGAAAATAATGAAAGTGGGAATAGAGCACCTGTCAAAAAAGAAGAATCCTAATAAGCCTTTTCAAATAATTGTGTCTTATGATCATAAACACACATTATCAGAAACCTGCACTAGTATTGCATTAAGATTTAAATGTGTCTGTAGAAAGAAAAAATCTTAGCTGTTACTGCACCTACTCTGCAGGTCTAAAGTGCAGAGAACTCTGTGTAAGATAAGAGGGTTTGCTTCTCAGTATCTGCTGCTTAGGAATAGGGTCAGATTCCCTACTTTCAGCATTGAATAGCTGTGTTAACCTCAGGGGGAAGAAAACTTGCAAAAGACAGCATTTCAAGTAACAATATCATTAAAGTAGGACATACTGTTGAAATAAGGATTCAGTTAGGCCAAAATGCCCTGCAGGGAGATCTGTGTAAACATCATAGACTCAACACTGGGAATAACAGATGTATGAGTTATGTGACTAGAATAATCACATGGAAACAAGGAAAACATTCAGCAAAATTATCATTCAAGTTCACTCTAACTATTCTAAAATACTGTAATATAATGCTAATTCGATTCCCTGGCACCCAGTAGCATACAAGGTATTTCTTATTCTCTGTAAACTGAAGTAGGATTTATAAATTGCATTTACAGTTTTAAGTATATTATCTTTGAGATTTTCAAGCATGAGTCAATTTTTCTCTTTTGTGAAGAGGAAATCCGTATGCAGAAAAGGTTCCTATTCCTAATAACTCAATTTGTATCATTTTCTTGACCATGTACTTCTGAGATTCCCTTTCAAGTTGTTTATTTACACTTTTATTTAATCTGAAAAGGCCACTTAAAGTAAAGATGGAGGAAATTGAAAGTAAATGAATCTTTAGCACTTGTTCTTCCATGTGCCCAACCAGAGTACTTCACATACTGTACAGTTATCGTAGTGAAGCATCTTCCCTGACCGCAGAAAAAAGAAAAAAAAATTAAAATTAAAAAACATGTCGTGCATGTAAGGGCCGTTATTCTGTTGAAAATCTGTATCTTATAATGTTTGTAAGCCAGCCAGACAGTAAAGAAACTAGAACACTTATTACTGAAAACATGCATTAACTCCAATGGTAACTGGATTAAAAAAACAGTTTAACATTTCTGCTTATTTTTTTGCATAATGCATGTTATGTTTAACATAGTTTAAAAGCAAAGCAATTTGCCATGTTGTGGATAAAATTCTCAGGTATACATAACCTGTTTTAAAGTTGGCTTATTTTAGCTTTGAATTGAAAAGTCAGAATGTTTCAATTTAAAAAGAACAAAATTATTTTGATATTTTCTTTATTCTTCCAGTTTTTCAGCTTAAGTGATGTAGTCTCTTGGGCTGAACCACTAGTACATATTTAGAGTGAATAAACTAATCATCAGCTCAT